TATATATATATATATATATATATATAGGCATCGAGAGTGAACGCAGATTCTTGTACATCAACTAGAGATGAATATACTGTCCGCCAATGATACATTCTTTTAATACTTACATAGTGAAATAAACACGTATATCCATATACATAGAAATACGAATACACAAATACATAAACTTTCACATACTACGTGTATCTCCATATATGCACTCGCAATCGCGTATCTAAGAAACCTATAACCTCCTCACTTGAAGCAGCTTCAAACGGCCAACGCACCAAAACCGGAGTATAGTCATCCTCTTACACATACTTGCAATATAGCCGTACTCCTGATTTTCTTATCCGCTTTACTTTTCAGTTTTTCGCCCCTTATTTTGATCATTAACAGCACACATATCTCCATCAGGTTCGGGCCATCGGCGCGGTAGTCTGGGGGTACATCACTGGGGTTGCCCATGTTTTCTTGCCTAATCAGAAGTCAGGAGCGGTTGGTAGGATTGTACATATATATCTATCTATACAAATATAGCATAACAAGTATCAATTATATTAGTGTAAGTGAATGTTGGTATACTCAATGTTCTTGTACTACAAACGTATACACACAGGCAATCATCTATTTATGTGGTATTGTAGTCATAACTGATAAGTCATGACTCATTAGTCAGTACCTAGTGATTGCAGACGATTGAGATTTGAGACGACTCGGTCGAGTAACTAATGAATAGTGATTGGTTCAAATATCGGCTTTAGGCTGATATAAGAGTACACCTATTTATATCACCTTGCCTGATTGAGTGACTTCTGCAGACATTAAAGCTGGTGGTAACTTTTATATACATATTTATATATATAAAATAACCAGAAAAAAAAGTACGGACAGTCAATCACGTCTTTTCCGGGCTCAGGGTTTTATCAATTTGACGTGGTATGGCTGTGCTTGTAGCTTCAACTTTCAAGCTTGTACATAAGAAGGTATAAATAGGTATATGCAGTATGAAGCACGCGATCACTGAGTATTGAGTGCCTAGGGTACATGCAAGGCGTGCGTAGTTGAATTGTCAATAACTGGTCAATATGTACACAATAAACTGACTACGTTTAATTATGCCACGCTTCTAGTAGTCACCTAAATATGTACTGTGGAACGCTTAGAATAGCCGTACAAGGGTGGCTATTACTCTTGTGGTGTATATTGGGGTTGGTGTTCGCCCAAGACGTTACCGAGGGTCAGGTTACCATGACAACGAATGCGAGTACTGAGGTGCCTAATAATGCGTCGCAATCGACAGTGTTAAGCGATATGAGCAAGTTCCCTCACTTTGACACGGGCGGTCTATCGATGTTCTTGAAGGGCGAGCCGAGTCCGTTAAGTTTAGGATTAGTGAAGTTGGACCGGAATCTGACATTCGAGTTCTGGTTCAAGGCTGATGCATACAATGCTGCTGGTATGTGTATCTATACCAAATAGCAATTGTTTGCTTATATTAATACTTGCGTTTCAGAAGGAAATGGGATATAGAACAACAGTGTTG